TGCGCCCCCCCCCCCCCCGAGATGACCTGCGGTTTTCTAATACAACTGGTATTCTGCAAAAAAAAAAAACTATGTGGTTTATTGGTGTTGAAGTAGAGCAAGAGACGAGTGCACCCCCTCCTAAAAAAAATCCTGGATCCGCCCCTGAAAACTGTAATAAAGGCTTACGTGTACCCAACAAGATAAAGTGGAGTTGCGATTGTTAGGGTCAAATAGGCCTATTTTGTTGATGCTATGTAGTTAGAATTTTTCGCTGTGATTAAAGAAGTGTTCACTTCTGTAGACTACACTTATAAAATAAACTTCAAACTTTGGACAGTTTTTTATTACTCTGACTCACACTATATACTTTTTTGATTAACCGCGAGTTTATAAGTTAATGTACGATTTGAAGGTAAATTAGGCTTTAATGCCGCACAACCGGGGTGCAACAAACCAACTGTTAGCAATTTTGGCGAAGAGTGCTTAGTTTGCCCCGGGAGAGAATTACAATGCTTCCCGGGACGGTTCAGACTGACATAAGATAATAGTCGACAGAGGGGCAAGACAGGTGTGAATAAAACTGAAGGTAACGAGAAACCAGTTAAACAAGAAAATAAGGTTAATTCGGAGTGCAATTTTTAACATGTTAGTACGGTAGTATTTACAACAACAAATAACGCTTTCCATTTTGTAACAGGTACTGCCCGACCATGAAGAAAAGCAGAACAATTTGCCTTCCAAGAAAGTCTTCAAAATAACAATAAAAGTACTGCCACGGTCCTTAACAAGGATATGCAGCCAACTCATTTGTGTGTCTGTCATTTATTCAGTATACACCAAACCTATGGTAAGTTAATTTTTTGCACAACACAGTCGGTTAGTTGGGTCTTCATGCAATTTTCCATTCTTTTGAAAAGGTTACTATTTTTAAGAACAGGTCGTTGAGGTGGAATAGAAGATCATTATTAGAAATAATAACCTACTGTTTCAATTCAGTGACCATAATAATAACCTACTGGTTCTAAAACGATGGAAAAGTACGCGCTGAGTCATTATTTTAATAAGCAGAATAAGGTCACGAAGCTCAGCGAATAAGCTATATTTCTTTTCATTTTACATCTTTCTTTTGAATAATTTTGATGTGAGTTTTTTCGTCTCTCTGACAATTCTGGTTTGGTATATACACCAAAACAACTGCAAGTTGTATTAAGTTATAAATTAAACCGCTTCACGCCTGACAGAGAAAAATGTCACAATCTAAGAGAAGTTTACGCTTTTGAATTCATTACACAACGTTCAGTTTCCTACAGAAAACGAAACCTAGCCCCGAGCTAAATTCCTCTGCGTGAACCAACAACAAAAACGTAAAATAACCAGGAAAAAAACACCAAGAGAATTAAAACAAAAAAGTAGTCAAAAGACCGCCAAACACCAACTATAAATCCAAAAAAACACAACAACGCACAAAACAGATCAAAAAGATAAGTAACAAGGTAAGTTTATTTACATAGTTTTTTTTTTGCCCCGGGGACTAAGTGCTCCGCCCAAGGGGGGAGAGCCCCGGGGACTAAGTGCTCCGCCCCTGCCCCACCCCAACCAACTAAATGTCAACAAACCATCGTTATGATTCCATAGATTTGAACACCAAAAAAAGATTTCCTACTACCAATTATTTCTCCGTCTTTTCATTTGGAATTGAAACAATTTTAAATACTTTTATACACTCCTGTAATTTCCTTGAAAACCCTACATGATTCCAGAGCAGAGTGAAATGGGCAAAGTCAAAACCCGTTTTTAGACCAAAATAATGATAACACCATGTCCTTTGGAGCGGCACACTATGTGGCTTATAAAACGGAGGTCTCTCCCGAGCTGGGGACACATTCTATCTCACTCCCTAACCATCGGTTACTGCTAATAAGACAAGAGGCATTTATTTGAGATTGTGGGTGGACATCTAGTAGACCATTTACACGTCCACCTTGATCCATCTGCTCTGCTTTCATTACGTTGTGCGCAGTGCTACCCGTATAATTTGTTTACCACCCGTTTACACGTGTTTATTAAACAAACTGCCGACCCCACCCTCCTGAGGCAATTTGCTCTCTCCCCAGATTCCCCTCACATTTCTTTAAAAATGATGGCGGCCATGTTTACTGTTGGTCACAGAAAGTCGAGCACTGAGCAGAAAAGTTGAATGACGCAGTTTTCCGCTCTACATTTGGTGATTTGACTCCCTGTCTACTTGACTGAGTCTCTCTTGGGCTGAATGTTTGCAAGTTTTCAAAAAGTGTTTGAAAAGAGTCTCCGCTTACGTGTACCCCGCCAGCTGTACATTGTGTATGTACAAACGAAATATTTGGGAAAATATGAAGGTTCTTGCAAACAATTGTGTGTCCACAGTTAAGATTCCAGAAGGGGTGAAAAGTGGAAATGGTGTCTCTTACAACCCGGTTTTGGGTTTATTTGTGACAATGGATTTCAGTGAAGGAATCTCCGTGTGGAATCATGTCAGTGGAGAAGTGATGGCCGAATGTGACCTCGGGCCAGATGGAGATCTCAACATGTCATTGCTACCTGGCAATCGTGTTGCGGTAAGCTATTCAGAAGCACATCACGGGGGATCAGTTGAGATTTACTCTCTTGAGAAAGACACATTTGATTCTTCCGAACTTGAACTAAAAGTGCCTTCATTAACCTATCCAGGAGTGATCGCTTTCACCCCGCAGAAAAGCCTTCTTGTGGCCGGTTCGGTGCAATTGGATCCTGGTTTGTATGAAATATTTATGGACTGGAAAAGTTTAAAAGTCCTTAAAATGAGAGAAATTTGTGTTCCACTTCCTGAAGAAGAAGATGAAGAATATGGAGGAATTGGTCTGCTATGCGGTTCTCCAGATGGTAAGGTGATACGAGCTGAATACGAATTTGAAGATTATGAAGCCCTTTCTTCGTTAATAATAGCAAAAATAAGTCTTAGCTGCGAACGAAAAGAGCAAGGAAGCGAAGATGAAGATGAAGAGAAAAAAGAATTTGAGCAATTTAAAATGCAAGACGAAGCAACAATTAGTTATTATATGCTTGATGGAGAGGAGAATCACATCGATAATTTGAGAGGATTTATCCATGATGGGCAAAACCTGATTATTGCAGAGGGAGAGAAAATTGTGTTGTTGGAGTCGTTAACAGAAGGCAGCAACGCACAACTCATTGTATCAGGTTTAAAACCTGCTGAAGAAGATTCACAAAAGGAAGTTGCAATGAATCTGAATCATAAAGGACAGTTAATGGTGTGTGATGATAAAGAAATTATTAAGGTTTTTGAGTATAGATGCAGGCTAAGGTCCTTACAAGATATCTGTAGATGTTTTATTGTGCATACAATTCACACTGGTTACAGTGATAAAGTTAAGAGCTTGGCAATTCCATCCAGACTGAAAGATTACTTGCTTTACAAGTAAGCATGCAACAGGCTGATTCTGTCCAGTTCTGATTCTCTTTGGGAAAGAGCACAGAATTGCATGACTAAAGCTAAATGTACAGTAAAACAGGCAACAAACAATGTGCAACTTGTTTTGCAAAAATGCTGCAAATTGAGTTGACTAGCAATGTTGCATGTATTACCACCCACCTTCAAACTAGCTTGTGTGGCAGGCGTTCAAAAGGGAAGGGAAATGGGATTTTGGGCGCACAAATTCCCTACCCCTTATATTTGTAACGCCTGCCACACAGGCTAGTTTGAGCCTGTCTTGCAACAGTAAGGTTGCAAGGTTTTTTTTTCGTAGATGGTGAAACACCCAACATCCCTATTCAACTCATTTTGCAGCAAATTCACAAATCAAGTTGCACGTATTTTGTTGCTTGTTTTACCATACCTCTGTCAAGGGAACTTAACCATTTTGTCAGCACTGGCCAGCTATATCAGTCCAATTGTAAGGAGAATTCAGGACTATCCAGCCATATCAGTTTTTTCCTAAATAGTACGCATAACAGTAATGGCTTTTAGTAAAAATTTCAAGAGAAAAGTAACATTTCAAACATTTCATATCCAAAATAAGCAGTCTGGCCAGCTAGTTCTGACTTTCGGAAAGTACCCTAAGAGAAGGTCAGAACTTGTTCATGGCTGGAAATAAATGAAAGATGACAGTTTTCAACTGAGTTATACAAGAATGTAGTTTTTACTAGTATTATACTGTCTTATTTACTCCATGTCATCCCTCAACTACAAACAAGACATAAGCATTTAATGGCTTTAAGAAACAAGATTTCCAAATATCCTAAATATCTAAATCTTTTTAAAAAATCCTCCAGATGGACTGCAACATTTTTTGCTGTCAGGGTGACAGTTGTTGCCAGGCTCATTGTTGTTGTGGTTAGTGAAGAGTGGATCTATTGCTTTTCTCACAAGTTCTTCCGCGAGGTCTGGTAGGAGGGATCTAAACAAGAAGAAAACGAGTCAAAAGTCAGAAAGTTTGTACAGTCTAACCTCTGGTGCTTGTGGAATTGAAAAGAAAAGAATTTTTATAACTTCTATAATAATTATTATCATCTAAAACAAAATAACTTTTTTTCAGCATATTTATAGCTCTTAATTGGCTGCTTGGTTCTTAGGCACCTCAGCTGAACTTGTCTCTTTAAGAGTTTTAAATTCAATATTAATTTTTTTATAGCATCCCCTCTGCTGGGAGTCCTCTTGAAGTGCTGAGACCCCCTGACCATCCTTACTCACATCCCTTTGTGTATAAAGGGTGGTTGAATGGCAACAGAAGACATAACCAGAAGTATTGTGATCTAGTGATCATGAAAACAGCATTATTTCCAATGATAATATTCTTCATAAACCCTGCTGCTTACAATCTAGTGATGTCTAGGTTATCAGAGTTGCAAGCAGAAGTGTAAGTACTAAACCAATCATAGCCTGTTCCAGGCTCTCAGATAGTTGGGATGATGTGTAAGCTCTCCCTGTTTTTCCCCTGTTTTATTTTTGTGTTCACCCTCTCTCAATTCTGCGGACCCGACTATCTCAGAGCCTAAAACAGGCTAAGCGAACACAATACACTGGGAAAAGCATTGTCATTAGTTTAACCCATTGCTTCTGCTTCCGACTCTAAAAATTTGGTTTTAAGTAAATCATAAGCAACATAGTCATGAGCTGGGCCAGAAAAAAAGGAAACACTGACTGATTCTTACACCTCCAATTCCTTAATCCTTCTGAAACCACCTACAAAGCAGAGGTGCAAGTTCTGAACCAATCACAAAGCATGGTAACAAGCTTCGTGATTGGTTTATCCTTTTGCTTCTGCTTCAGACTCTGACAATGTGGTTTTCGATTCACCAGATTGTAAGTGGGACTCCACTTAAAACTCCATCGCTAGTGAAAACTATCCAGTAGCTTACTTTGCACTTGCTGGTGCTCCATTAACTTCCAGTAACCAGACATGAAACTGTGAATCAACCATAAAATCGAATCCAAACAATTGAAAACTGTGATAGCCTAAACCCTCTGTGGTCAATTCCTGCAATTGCATAGGACAAAAAATTATTAGAGAGCTTTAGATTCTAAGACGAGTACGAGTACGAGATTTTCTCAATACTAGGTATTGCTCGCGCGTGAGCCAGCGTCATTTTGGCAGGAAAACATGGTAGCCATCATCATATTGTACTACCAGTTTCAGCGAGAATGTCGAAGTAGCAGAAAAAAGTTATCAAATGTTAGAAGTTTTATCATTTTGCGATCAGGAAAGGGTGTAACCTCCTTCACTAAAGGTAACATTGCTAACTGTTCTAGTGAAAAACGATAAAATGAAGCTTTCTGGGGAGTCTATATTTTGAGAATACACAAAAAACTTTAAGTCAAATCTCATCCTTGAATCTGAAGCTCTCTAGTAGGAACCATTATTTCATTTTTATGGGGGAGGAGAGGCTGGTAGGAATTGATGGGTATTTCATGAAGTACATGATCACCTCCTTTCTTCATTAGAAATGTTTTGAGTGCCCCCCCTCACTTGTATCCCAAATTAATTTTATTGAGATGACATCCCCCCCAACCAAAAAAAAACAAACAAAAAAAAAAAGGCAAAAAAAAGGAAAGAGAGAGAATGGATGAAAAAAACATGAACAATGCTGAATTGAATGAAAATCAAATAGAGATTTGGAATGGCCATTAGCAGAGAACAGACACTAACAAAATATGAACCACAGGAGAAACTTTGTGAGCTTCATCAATGGCAATGCAAGAGACATTCCATTTTCGTTATGGAAATGAAGCTTTTTTTTTTTTTGCAGTAAAACGTTTGATTTGGTATGCTTTTTACATTTTATGTTACTGTAATAGAGTAGGGGGTTTGGGGACTTGCTTACCCAAGAAATTTGATCTTTATGAACATCATGCAGGCATGCTGGTTTTTAGCATTCTGGTAAGCTGTTTGCATTATTACAGATGCCTTCACTGCAACACTTGAAGGAATTTTTTTGATGGCCACCCTTTACACCCTGACTCCCCCCCCCCCCTTCCTTTAAAGCCATATTTTTTTCATGGCCCCCCTTAAATCCCAACAGCTCCCCTATCTGATAAAAAATGAACCTCTCTTAGGTATCAACAAAACCGGGATTAGATCAATCCCTGTATACTGTAAAATTTAATGATCTAATCTATTAAATTTTAGGGGCCCAAGCAGGGGGGTGTTTAATGGATAAGAGACATTTACTCTTGTAACTGTAACAAACAAGACAAAAGCTGATACACTATGCTTTTGAACAAAATCCAGTCCATCTGTCTTTGCTGAGATGCCAACCTCTGGAGACTCTATCTCTTTCACTACCGCACCCCCCAACCGAATGTCAACAAACCATTGTTATTATTCCTTAGATTTGAACACCAAAAACAGATTTCCTAAATTCCACTAAGAATTATTTCTCGGTCTTTTCATTTGGAATTGAAACAATATTAAATACATTCATACACTCCTGTTATTTCCTTGAAAACCCTATATGGTTTCAGAGCGAAATGGGTAAAGTCAAAACCCGTTTTCAGACCAAAGCAGCCATAAAACCATATCGGGCAAATACCTATATGGCTTATATAAGGGACCTAACCATCGGTTACTGCTAGTAAGACAAGAGGCATTTATTTGAGATTGTGGGTGGACATCTAGTAGACCATTTACATGTCCACCTTGATCCATGTGCTCTGCTGTCATTACGTTATGCGCAGTGCTACCCGTTTAATTTTTTTACCACCCGTTTATACGTGTTTATTTGACAAACTGCCCACCCCACCCTCCTGAGGCAATTTGCTCTCTCCCCAGATTCCGCTCACATATATTTAATAAAATAAAGATGGCGGACATGTTGACTGTTAGAAAGTCGAGCACCGAACAGAAAAGTTGAACAACGTAGTTTTTCCGCTCTACATTTGCTGTTTCGGCTCACTGTCTACTTGACTGAGTCTCTAAGGCTAAATGTTTGCAAGTTTTCACAAAAACTCTTTGAACAGAGTCTGCGCTTACGTGTACCCCGCTTGTACGTGTACAAACGAAATATTTGGGGAAATATGAAGGTACTTGCAAACAATTGTGTGTCCAAAATTAAGTTTCCAAAAGGAAAAGGAGTGAATAGGGGAAATGGTGTCTCCTACAACCCAGTTTTGGGTTTATTTGTGACAGTGGATTTCTATGAAGGAGTCTCCGTTTGGAATCATGTCAGTGGAGAAGTGATGGCCGAATGTGACCCCAAGACAGGTTTCAGCGTGTCATTGCTTCCTGGCAATCGTGTTGCGCTAAGCTACGAGTCAGGACCACATTACACGGGATCAGTTGAGATTCACTCTCTTGAGAAAGACACATTTGATTTTTTCGAACTTGAACTAAAAGTGCCTTCCTCGATCGATCCTGGAGTGATCGCTTTAACCCCGCAGAAAAGCCTTCTTGTGGCAAGTTCGGTGCAAGTGGATCCTGTTTTGTATGAAGTACTTATGGACTGGAACAATCTAAAAGTCGTTAAAATGAGAGAAATTATTGTTCCACTTCCTGAAGAAGAAGATGAAGAAGATAGACAAATTGGTCTGCTATGTTGTTCTCCAGATGGTAAGGTGATACTAGCTGATCTTACGAACTTGGACAATATAAAGCCCTTTCTTCGTTAATTAAAATAGCAAAAATTAGTCTTAGCTGCGAAAAAGTAAGTCGTAGCTTCGAAGGAAAAGAGCAAGGAAGCAAAGATGAAGATGAAGATGAAGAGAATATAGAATTAGAGCAATTTAAAATGTAAGAAGAAGCAACAATTAGTTATTATATGCTTGATGGAGAAGAGAATCAGATCGATAATTTGAGAGGATTTATCCATGATGGGCAAAACCTGATTATTGCGGAGGGAGAGAAAATTGTGTTGTTGGAGTCGTTAACAGAAGGCAGCAATGCACAACTCATTGTATCAGGTTTAAAACCTGCTGAAGAAGATTCACGAAAGGAAGTTGGAATGAATCTGAATCATAAAGGACAGTTAATGGTGTGTGATGATAAAGAAATTATTAAGGTTTTTGAGTATAGATGCAGGCTAAGGTCCTTACAAGATATCTGTAGATGTTTTATTGTGGATACAATTCACACTGGTTACAGTGATAAAGTTAAAAGCTTGGCAATTCCATCCACACTGAAAGATTACTTGCTTTACAAGTAAGCAT